GTAATGACACTAGTATTTGTCCATAAAACGTAATTTAGCCAGACTACTCCAATGAAATCAGAAGCTTTAATGCTATAAAACTAGAAACTTGGGAATATTTGTACCTTATTAAGCGGGGGGAAGAGGTGAGGGGGAAGATTTAATTTTCCCTCAGCTTGGCTGAACCATCACACTGTGGCCTTTGTTTTCAACAGTGAACCTCCATCACTAAAYAATTTGTGTCATTTCTTCTCAGAGACCCATTTGTTGCCCAAAGCCTAATACCAGGTGTAAAGTCCACATTCAGGCTTATCAGCACTTGAAATAAAATTTTCTCCCCTCTCAGACTAACCAAACACCTGAGGGCAAGCAGCAACGTGGATTCCTTCATGCTTTCAGCCTCYGTCTTGTCACGTCCTGGGCCCCAAGCACCCAGGCAAACATATCAAGCTAAAGCTTGTCCATGTAAAAGAGCTAGTCAACAGCTCGGAGCACATCTGCCAGAGACGCAAGTTTAGGCTTGGTTGTAATATCTACACTTAATTCCTGCCAGACATGAGTGATGCAACATGCAAGGTATGTATTGAGTTGGTGGCAGTTCCTTTTTCCTAAGAAATAATGCTTGGAAACTAAGAAACACACAGGAGTTAAATCAAAGTAGTTCTGAACTTTGTTATGAAGAAACAAATCTTGGCAAAAACAAATACCAATGCATACGTTTTCATGAATTCAGAGCAGACAAAATGGAAACATGTCCTAAAAAAGTGAGAAGTGTGTACATACATATATGTGTGTGTGTGTGTGTGTGTGTGTGTGTGTGTGTGTGTGTATGTGTATGTATATCTCCATGCCATGTTTGTGGCTAAAGCCTCTGAAATCACAGGAAAATCCAAAAATTAGACTGACTAGAAACATAAGCAGAGCTTCTTCTTGTGCATAAACATCGAGAAACACAAATAGTGAATAGGTATCAATAGTACAAATCAATTCCCATTTTAATAACCTATAAACAGCATGAGTAAAATGCTCTCCAAGAGTTCAGAAAAGAAGCCCAGCAGCAAAGCTACTCACACACGTAATTTCTAGGGCACAAGGTTTAATCTTGAGAGTCATTTTAAACGACTCCCAGATGAGAAGTTATTCTCACACTGTTTTCATATGAAACTACAAATTACTGYTCAGGGACAACTGCTTAGTGCTCATCTACCTCCGCGGTTCCTTCCTCCGCAACACGAGCCAAAAACACGGATATGAGGCAAAGATCAAAACACAGCTAAGCTGGTGTGCRGAGGCGTGTTTTAACAAAACATATTTGTCACAAACTGTGCTCATTTCTAGGGTAAACAACAGCATCTTCATACTTTTGTGGAAGATGTGTGGTGCTATGGCAGCAGCTTAAAAAATATATAAATAAAAAGAGATAATGTGCAGAACTTAATCTGAAACCAAACTGATCTTTTGTTTCCCTGGATGATGACATTAAATAGGGCAGGAATAGCTGCAATATGAATGTTCCTTGACTAACCCTTTTTTGCCGTTAAAGTTTAAATTCAATTAGTTACTTCCCTGCTTAAACAGAACGGCTGCTGCTGAAATTGCACTCTAACTATAATTGCAATCCAAGGGTGATCTAATTATATACAAGTCTCAGTGGCTGCATTCCCACGTTGCTTCCTGCAACCCGGATTCACTACAAGACGACTCCAAAAGTTAAAAACCACACAGTTTTCAATTGCTTTCCCTTAAGACTGTCCGACTTCACATACGCTTAACAAGGACAGAGTTAGTCTATTAGCAAGCTCACTATAAAACCTAAGTTTCTACCTGCCATTAAATACAAAAGAATAAAAAGGCACTTCAGCTGCCTATAAAATCCAGCTGATGGGCTAAACTTTATAAGGGAAAGAACGTTCTTTAATTAAAGCGCTGGATTAGGACTCAAGTACCAGCTTTCATTTTAGGCTCTGTCACAGGCTTACGGCGTGACCCAGGGCAAGGATCACTCAGCAACTCAGATCTTCATCTCTAAAACGGGTCCTTCTGCCAGGATCTCTGTCTGGGCTTGTAAGCAGTTACTGTGAGCAGTAATTGCAAGTGTTGCCTTGTACATCACATAGCTGATAATAATTGAAGAATTTGGGTAGTATTGTAATAAACAGCTAAAAGTGGTGCTCTTAGCTGCACAAAATCCTAACAGATGGAGTTTTGCATCCTTGACACTTCCATCAGGGCAGCCTAACACACTGTTACTCCTAAGCAAAGTTCTTCAACACAGCCTATTTTAAGGCCTTTTTGAGAAAGGAGAGCGAGGTATCAGGGCATCCCAAACATTTAAAGAATARCGTTGTCCAACACAGAGTATCCTGGCCAACTTTACTGGATAACTCTAKGGTACCTCCGTAAATGCGGACAAGTATTCTGTGTTATATATAGCAGCTGCCAACAACGTGCTGCTTTTTTGTCAGTATTTCTATTCCCATTGTAAAAAAAAAAAATGCAGTATGACTTCTTTGCCAGGTTTGTAAATCTGAATGAGAACATGTGAGCAGAGCTGCCTGTTTTAAAAGGGTTGTTGCAAGTAATTACAAGCTAAAAATGAGAATACTTCACACCTACATTGTGACTGCAAACTTCTCAGCACTGCTGGCTCCAGACTTTTAATTGTCAAAAAGAGTTCAAGGTTTGGAAAGTTATTGGCATCGAGYGATACTGGATATTCCTAACTAGCATTGTGTCATTTTTTGGCAGGAATTTTGCTGGGATAACTCCCAGATCTGTGACATAATCAGAGGGTTCTCTACATTACACTATATAGTCAATGCTCATGTTAGTATAATACATTACCATGTTTAATACYATTTGCTATTACTTGCACTTAATCAGCTCTGGAACCAGTTAAAACATAGAGGAAAAGCAATTTCAGAGGCTTTCAACTGACAATTTTCCAATGTTTAAGCACACACCTTGACATCAAAATTGTGATTTGAAGTTTGTAAGATGCAGCCTACGTATACAATTGCCTTTAAACAAACATCTATAACATTATAATTCTCTGGCAACTGAAAATTCATGAGAAAAGGCCAAAATAATAAAAAAATAAAAAAAGGCAGAAACAAGCGCCTTAACTTAAAAAAAAAAGTAGTCAGAGTTTCCCCTTCTGGCCTGTCTTAATTTACTGCTTCAACAGTTTCATGCCCAACCTCCACAGTTATTACAAGGCTCCAGCTCCACAGAAAGGGCTTAGCTCCCTAACTTCCATCCCCCTTCCAAGCTACCCCCAATCCAGTGTTTCTGGAGAAACCTACAGCAAATTTAGCAGTGCAGTGTTGTGGGGCACCTGTTCCCATGCACATATTTTTCACAGTTAACTATTACACTCATTCACTCATAACATTAAATGCAAAATGGGAGTGAAATAATTACACATATACATCTCCAAAATGCAGGCTATGGTTTACAGCAGTAAATTGTGGGTTAACATATCTCAGAGTCTAATCATGAAAAGATGCTGAATATTAACCCAGCAAGAAATCAGGCCTCCTTTAGGTGCCACCAGCTGGCTACTCAGCACGCTAAATCACTAGTCACTTTTGAAAATCTTGACCTCATTATTTATTTTTCTGCCTCTCTATAGGAAAGGAACAGAGATTTAAATAAATGACATAATCCTTATTACCATTCCATTCATTCATGCAGGTCACTGCAATTTACCGCCAGGAAAAATAAACCCCTGCATAATATTCCTCAATGTAGGGCATTCAAATGGCTCAAAGTGGGAGAGGCAGCAAGGGGCTCCTGACAAATATTTGCTCAAGTGACCGCATCCTTCATGAACACATTTGCTAGAGAAAACGGTCAAGGAAATTTATGGTCGATGCGAAACTGCCAGCTTGGCCCTGAGGTAGTTACAAGGAAAAGGAGCAGTGGAAAGAAGATGGAAAAGGGATTTTCAACCAGCTTCATGGCCCTAARTTGGGCCACAAGTCACCATGTTAAAATAGCCTGCAATAACCCAATGCATTTTTGCTCTTAATATGGATCGATCTGAAGTTCTAGCCACATAGCTGGTGAAGTTCAACTCGCTCCACAAGTGTGGTGAGAGCAGAGCCTCATTCAAACAYACTTCAGAAACTGCAGTTTGGATTCCCAAAGGCACAAGCATCCAGCCTGGTTATACCAGCTATGCTGACTACTTTTGGGTAGCAGAACCTGTAGATCCCATAAAACCGATCCAGGCTAATCAGCAAGAATAGGGGTGAATGAATTTGCTTCCTGAGACTTCAAGCCCTAAATCAGCTAAGCACTTAAATATCTGTATAAGCCTTATTAGAGTCAATGGGATTTCGGCATTATTACATAATCCTTTTATTAAGCGTGTGCTTAATAGTTCTGCTGAATTAAGGTTTTACTGCTAATARGAATTTTGGCAGCTTTTAAAAATTGTCTACAGGTAAAAGACATCACAATTCTTGTCTTCTGTTATTAGGAAATGCTAAAGAACACAACCTAACGGAGTCAACATTAATGTCAGCTGGTCTAGCGTAAATACAAAGGATCTCTTTTGAAATTCCAAATCTACATTATCATATTCACAAGAAGATTCATAAAAAGATTATTTCAAACATAACAGCAGCAATTTAGAGGATCACTTGATCGTTCTGATAACTGCAGCTATTAACATTTATGATTATATTCATTGTACCAGTAGTAATTGTAAGGGTAATAGGTAAAATTGTATTAGCCTTTAATATTTGTCCTTTACAGTAAGCTCATAAGCATATAAGAGCACCAAGGAAATTACAGGAGCTCACAAACACGGATATTACACCTTCAGCAAGAGGTGGGCAGCTTAAGTTATATGGACACAGAACTGGTTATGCACGGAATTCCTACCATCAGGATAGCCTGAAATCACCTTGAAAATCTGTGCATAACTGTTAAGCTTCATTTCAAATGTTTCAACAAAGAAACCATGCCAYTAAGGAGAAACACCTTCTTGCATTTGACAAACTCTTACTTACCAACAACGTCAAGATGGTAGGTGTGGTTGATGGATCCGTACTGGTTTTCCACGATACAGGTGTAATTTCCTTTGTCAGACGGGACCACGCTCTCCATGATGAGGCTCCAGTGCTGGTTGCGAACCTGGTGGGGTTGCAATTAGAGAGGCTGAGAACTTTTCTAGCGCTGTTTCACCCTCACCCCCTCAAAAAGGACTTTTTTTCCACAGAACTTAATCTTTTGTAAYCCATTTTTAAAAGCCTCTTCTGTGCTCGTTGGAGGGTTCTGCAGACTGGAATACTTCATTTATGCCTGAACAGGTACAGCATGGCTATAGCAGTGAACGCTTTCATGCATTCTGTTATAAATTTACTGTCCCTAATTTGAGCACTTTAGACCTCAGTGCACATTCAACCCTGCAAGCCTTGCGCCAATTAGCGCAGTTGTCTTACCAGCCTTACCTCTCAATCAGCTCCAAAGTGAATTCCCACCCTCAAGATATTTCCCATCTGTCTCCAAACAATCTTCCCAGCACATTAACCAGCAATATGGGAGAGATATGATCCCCTAACATCAAAGTCTCCRCTCTTTTCTAACAGCTCAATTACCCAGCCCAAGTTTGGGGGAAATAAAGTAGAGAATTGCAATGTTTAGGATCCCTCTCACAAGGAGAGGGTGGCCAGATTGCTTCCTGTCATAGGAGACCCCATCTGCAAGAGCATTAAGAAACTCCTCACTGGAGTTCATGGTACTCGTGTTAAGTTTACTTCACACAATGGTTCTTGGACAGAACGTAAAGAGGTTCTGGATCTGTCCCCATTGAACTCAGAAGAAGCATTTGAACGGGTCTCACGGAAAACAGGCCCCAAACTGCAAAGATATCGTTGAGTAGTTCACATATTCACTCTCCTCATCACAGATTGCCTTCCTGAAGGCCTTCCCTGGCCAACCATCAAACTCTACTTTGAATAGTGTATTTTTGACAAAAGACTCCCCAAACCCTAACACTACATAGCAGGAATGTATAAATTTCAAACTGAAACATGCAGGTTTTAGTAAATATATTCACCCAGCGATCATAATCATCCAAATGGAAAGTAGAAATTATTACTCCTCCAGCACAACACATCAGAAATATCTAAGGTATTTTGAGCAAATTACTGAGATGCCTTTTCCCCCTATTTCATTGCCTTTTTTTTTTTTTTTTTTGCCAAGCTTCTCTGTCAATTTTTAAACCAATTTTCAGTATCTTTCCAATAGCCTCTCTAAACAACTCAATCTTTAAACTAGTTTATAGCAGAGGTGTTTAATAAGGAACTTCATCCCCAAAATATAGCTCAGAGTTTGTAAAACTAAGCTGGCGCTGAAATATGAATAAAGAATTGTTAGAAATCTAGGAAGTAGTAAGGAATGTTGCATAGAAATATTTTACTTTCAAAGTATCATATTTAAAAAAATTGCACACAATTCTGTTTGAGGAACAAAATAAAAATATCTTCAGGAAGCCAATAATTCATGAAAATTATTCATTTGGCAAAAAAATAAAAATAAGAGGGAGAAGAAAGTTTTAAATGAATTTCAAAAGAAAYTAAAATTAATTCTGCCCATAAAGCAGCACAATTCAGCCATACATTTTTATTCCTCAGGTAAAGAGACTAAATACAGGAAATCCATGAAGACGCCCTCAGTGTTTATAGTCCCTAGAGCCAAGACCATTTGTTTGCTTGATATTTACCCTGGTTGAATTGAAATGTGTAAAAGAAGACTGCAGTGATGAAGCTTATCAAAATGCACACGTGAAAACACACACCTGTTAATGCTTAAACAGTAAAAACTGATAGAAGTACATTTGCTTTCTGGGTGGTGTACAGCAAAGTGTGCTCCTGTGCTCTCTCATATAGGGTTTAGTGCACAACTTAAAACCCCTTAAAATAAACTGGCAGAAATTATTTTTAGGACAGACAAAGAGAATCAAAATAGAAAAAGGTGTGCAAATTTTTGCCTTGCTATGGGAATTTTGGTTCTACCTTGAGACACATTTGAGGTTGATTTGGAAGTTCACGGCGCAGCACTCGTGAGCAGGGAGGAATTCCGCCCGAATTCCAGGCGGGCGCTGCTATCTGGGCAGCACCTGCAGCCCCGGGGCTCGCTGCCCACAAGGCAAATTGACTCAGGGCATTCCCTGAGGGAGGACAAAGTGCTCCCGGCCACTATCTGATTGCGATAAAGGCAGCACAAAGACGGGATTTCTTAGCTGCAGGGGAGAGGGGACTAGAGGATTAATGAGAATCGCATTTTCCTTCCCTTCCTTTGYGCTGGAAGTTGGGGGAAGATTGTCTTTTCTGAATGCGACAGAGCATGTTACGTGACCTGGTAATGGCAAAGTTTGGCCCTGCCTATTTCAGCTCTTTGCTTTTCCTATGTAGTTTGAGCATGAAGCTCTACAGCAGATACACGTGGTAAATTCCGCACCCAGATTCAACACAATCCCGTGTAAAAAATAAATAAATAAATAAATAAAATCATCACAAACCTGTCCTAACATAGACCACTATGGAAAGATTCCTTTTATTTTTTTTTTTTTCCTGAGGATTCCTTCATTACAAGTTTGCACAGCAATGGTGAGAAAAGCGTAACTCTTCTGTTTCCAGAACAGTTCTGGATAAGCCAAGAGTGACCTCACACAGCCCCTCYAGCAAATCCAGCCCCGGCAGCCTCCCAGAGCCCAGGACTCCTCGCTCCTTAGCAGCGGTTCACTGAAAACAAGATTTCCACCTTACAAAAGATGCTTATCCAGAACACTGACAGAATCTGGAATACACATAGATTTGGTGAGCAGAATGACAGTGGTAAGTGCTTCCAGATCACCTTAAATTCAATGTATTTATGAGCAACACGAAGACCACAAATCCACAGCTGTGTCCCCTCTCCCTTTTTTTTTTCCCCTTTTAGACTAAAGAAACATAAAAAGTTTTATGATTGAGAATTATAGGTATATACTTCACATATTCAGCTGGCTTTACATGTAGACAGCTGTGGTTTCTTCCCAGAGTACATATATACCTAGGAAATTGCACACATTTAACATCCACGGTCAAAACTTTAATTTGTGCCATTGAATAGTATCACCCTGATACCAGGACAAGCTGGCAGGGACAACACGCTGCTCCACAGACTACTTTTCTAAACCAGAAAGATCAGGTATCTCCATCCTGCCCTGCAAGACACACATTTTCCTTCACTGCTTTCAAGAGTGATATCTGTATTTCCCCTTCATGAGATGTAAAATGTTCAAGCAATGTCTCAGGACCGAAACGGTTACTACTATTTTCCAAGACAGGATTAGGGGGGTTTTAATTGGCTTCATTTTTATAACAACTGTAGGAAAGGTGAAAAATCACCGAATTGTAGCCAATTCATTAACACTCCGTTGCATTATGAAAGGCAGGAGGTGTTGCCAGGTGTACACTCATAAGCAACAGTAATTTATGGTGTAAGTAAACATAAATGGAAAAGTCTACTTAGATAATTAGTGTTCACGCAGGGAGATTTTCTGGGCTTTGCTCTCTGCTAGCACAAATGTTGGAAAATCTGACATGTTCTACAGTAAATCTAGCTAGGAAAGGAGAGACTTTAAGTCTCGTCCTCCTCTACACTGGAAAACATATTTCTTGCAAGAAGCAGGATCYGAGTCAAGAGCCAATGAAGCAGTAGACATCCTCTCTACATCAGGGCATTGCAAAATATGGTACCTTAATTACAAAGCAATCCTACTGCAGGTGAAGCATGCAGGAAGACATGCAGTGCTGCTCTACACCACAGCTTACAACCTTGACACCAGATGAGTTTAATTCAGAAACATCTTCTCCCTAAAATAAGTTCCTGAGGTGTTGTGTACATGAGGAAGCTATTGATAGAAAATCTGCAAGAGGAGGTAAAAAACTCACAGAAATCTGCCTCAGGATGCCAAGGAAAATGCTTAAACAGCAACTTAACAACCAAACACATGTAAGGAGTGGGATAAGAYGACCGAATTTTGACTTTTGACCTGACTTAGGTAGATACTGGAGGTTAAAGGTGTGTGCACTAACCCATAGAACTAGCTGGCCTTCCTAAATCTCTCTTAATCAGTAACCACTAATTTAGAAAGAAACATGTAATCTGAAGCTATTTAAAATTCAAACAACCCCTTGTAAGCAATTGCTGTTACTTTCCCTCAAATTCTGCTTCCCATTTCATTTTCACAGGCCATAAACTCTGTAGAAAATAGCAACTTTTGAATTCCAGTCCTTCCTTTACTAAATTGCCCATAATCTCCAAAATAGATGGTCATCTTATCAGCAATGCAGCTGAAAAAGAACAAACCAGAAACTTCACATCTAAGTTTACTTTGCAAAGTCAATCTTTAGCTTCCTAARGAAGTCTTTATATTCTGTAGTCACATGTGTTCTACAAACTTGAATTAAAAAAGAAAAAAGGAAATAAAATTAAAGCTTAGTAACAGCCAAAAAGCCACCCACCCTTCCCCAGAAGAAAACAATAACTTACTAACTTCGTGCTCCCAAATTTGATCCAACCCCTTTAAAAGATATTCTGTTGACTTCAGCATGTTAGGCTTTTTCACAGCCTTTGTCCAGAACAGAAATTGCAAAAGAGCATAATAGGATCTTACCTTATAACCGCCAATACGATGCTCTTGCTTGAATTCCTTCCCATTTTTCAGCCACCGCATGGTCGGTGTTGGGTTTCCCATGGCTGGGCAGCGGAACTTGACAGTGTTGGCAGCTGGCACCGCGTGTAGTCTTTTCTCCATTTTGTCTGTGTGAGTCCAATAGGGTGCCCCTGTTCCAAAAAAATACATCCAGAGATATAAGTACTCAAAAAACAAGCTCCTTTTCCAGCATTATCCAGACCTAGAGAGTTGCAAGCATTTGCTTGAGTAGAGACAGTGCAAGTTAGGAGTACACGACTAGAAATCAGCGTTGACCAGAGTTTTGAAAATAAGCTCTATCTGCAGCTTTTAGTATATGATTTGTGACACAATTTCAATAATTAACCACAGATAACCTTTGTTTTATGCATATCAAAAAAGACAGAGGTATTTTCAGTAGACTCAACTGTTCAGAGACACTTTTGACCTCAACTAGAGTTATTGTGTGTGCTCAGCAAACTCCCATCTCTTGGACCCAAGCTCTGGAGCTGGACATACAAAATCAGAAGTTTGATGTCTCAGTATTAATTTCCCCCTGCGCTGTGTTAGCAGGGGGTGAATGTACTTACCCACCTGACAGTGTGTTTGATCTCAGAGAGCAGTCATGAACTGCAGTAACTGCTTCAGAAGCCACTCAAAGTTATTTACAAAGGAAATATTTTGGAAAACTTACCCAAAGAGCAGGAAACTAAACTGATAAACACAGACCTACTAAACTCAGTATCTGTTTTGAACATTTTATAAGAGTCCAGTGACAGACCTGACATGGATTTCCCACTCTCATGAGCCTGCCTATGCCCAAGGGCTCCATCAGGTCCAACACCATTTCATGAAGTGATAGATATAGGCATAAATTAGCCCGTGTCCCAGACCCCAGCATCACTTGGGCTACAYTGCCCAGTGCCTTCATGACATTGCTCCATTTGTATCACTACAACCATTACTTAAATAAGACTTGGGATCTGTTTAACAGTASGAAATATTAAGTTATTTTACAATGGATTCTTCCTGAAATAAATCAGATTAGTGAGGAATTTCTAGGACTAGAGGGGTTCAGAAAAATAACTCTATTTCTCTCAGCCCTRTTTCATTTCCTTCATTAGCAGCCTAACACTCCACTATAAATAAGCCCTTCCGTTCACCAAATATTTATAGCAGTTCTTATAATCAGTGCAAACTCAGAAATCCTGCCACCCTCTCTAAATAAAAATACAGCTGGATAGAAAATACAGGAATAAATCCTTTAACAACATCTCTCTCTGTATAAAAAAAAACATTCCAATAGCAAGTCTTAAAATGATGCTAAGAATGATAAGTGAATTTTTTTAGCCTGAAGAAGCAATKAGTGTTAAAATTAATGAAGTAGAAAAGCAAAGGAAATTTGTGCATGTAGTCAAAATAGAAAATCAGGTAACTATTGAAAATTTAACCACAACACTACATTAGGCAAAGGCAGAATCGCTTGTTGGTACCGATAAGCAAAAAGAGCATTTTCTCTGGATCACTAATTATATTGCACAGGGCAGCATGACATGGAAGACAAAGTCTTGGGAGGATGCAGCAGGTTGGGAGGAGGACAGGACCCTRCCATGCTGGGAGAAAGGACTCTGCTTGGAGAACTGCCCCTTGCACCCTGGGAGCTGCTGGAGATCTTGGCCCCAACACACACAGACATCACATGGTGAAATCGCAGTGGGAAAATACTTCAAGACATCCTGTCATTTTCCACTAGATAACAGCAACATATGTCAGCAGCTTAACATTTTTAAGAAGGAAAAAAAAAAAAAAAGAAAACGAGAAAGAGGCAGCAGTGTCTAGAAACATTGACACTAACTCATGAGCACGAGGCATTTCTCTTTATAATGATCTTACCAAGACCTATAGGCACTTTTACTGCTTTTATCTCTTTTGAGAGGAAAAACACCCAGATCTGCTAAAAGCAAGAGGGAACGTACTTATTCGACATATACCTCTATATATATATACATATATATATACTATATATATAGTATATATATATGTATATATATCTCCACTCCATAGGCCAGGCTTGCCAGCATCCAGGGCAGGTGAAGTGCCCGTGTTAAAAGTTCACGACGATGCCAGGGCAAACTGCAGCCCATCACAGTAATGAGCAGGAGGCAAACTGGTGGGAATTCCTGATTGCTTTTAGAACCCTCATTAGTGGAGAAAATATCCTGCTGACCCCCACTGCACTCGACTGCAAATACATTAAATCTAATCAGGCAAATCTCCTACATGTGAAATTGAAATTAGACAACCCAGGGGACCACTTTACTTCAAGATTCCTAGATTTTGTTCAACCTATCTGCTACAAAGAAATACAAAAAGGAGGCAACTCCAAGCCTGCCTAACAACCACCTTGAGCAGGCAATGGTCCATTTGAAATGGCCACAAACTGCCCCAAGGTTTCCAGTACAATTGTATTTGACCTTTAATTAAAAAGCACTTCCAGGCAACATCCGATTTTTGCTGCTCCCTTGAGTGGGTTTCCACTCTAAAGGATTTCATGAATTTGAAGCTTTTCTTATCCTTTCTGAAATTCTTCAAGGCATGAAAAGAACAGCATGTGGATTACATTTAGCCACTTTTTGTTCCTAGTGCCAATTTACCATAKCTAGAAGAAATTCTTTAAACTGAAAAAGGGAAGAAACCCATACAGGTTCCAATTGCCTGACTCCAATTGCCTTGCATTCAAGGTAAAACAGAAGCAATTTCAAGGCTTTCCAGTGGTTCTCTAGCAAATGACTGTTCACAGGCATGAGTGTGACCTGGGCAAGTCGTATCTTGGTGACCATCACAGCCACTGAGGCCTTGCCAGCAGCGCATGAGGACAGGTAGGACTGAAGGATTCTGAATATTAGAGATGTTTTTCAAAAATTACAATGAGAACAATGCAAGAAGTACCACTAATGTAGCCTCCACTAAGGACTGATGAGCCCTTAGCTTTGCAAGAGGGATTTTCAAGTCACTGTCCCAGGGAAAATGCCTTGGAGATGCCCTCAAAAACAACCAGGGTTTTGGACCTTGGTTTTGGTCACCAAACCTCTCTGACTTGCCATCCAAGCCACTTTGGAGGGGAGGACTCTACTTTGCAGAGAAACCTAACCTGCGCCTTCCCCATAAGCACTAGTCACTCCAACAAAAGCTGGAAGTAATAAAAAGCTATTCAGGATGCAGCCTGGAACAAATCTACCACATTGCTTCTTCAGACAGCTAAAACATCTGTCAAGCTAGGAGGGCACTGAACGCAGGGTGGAATCTGCTGTGCATGCCTCGTACTTAAGCATGCACCCAGGCCAAGTGGTCAAGCTCACGTGTGCATGTGCAAGCACCTTCATCTCCATGAAAGGGGGCTGCTTCTCAAAGCTACTGAGCACTTGAGCCTCCATTGACTCCAAAGGAAGCTGCATTTGCCAGRTAGCTATGAAAACTAGGCTGAATTCCTTATCCATTTCCCTGCCTGCATTTGGAAACATTGCCCTCAGAAAATACATATTTTAACAGAGGAAAAGAAAATTTAAAAAGCTTAGAACTTGCAACCGTAAATAATGCTGTTCTAAAAGGTTTGCTTTTGTTTTAAATATGCAGGAATGAGAATGCCAAGGTTCAGTTCCTGGGGAAGGCACTGCAGCCATTTCCTGCCTCATCACATCATAATTAACATGCCAGGACAGCTGGACTTTATCAGAATCGTTTCATCAAAAAGCAACAAGCTTTGAAGACTATGGCCTTTTGTTTTCATCAATAAAGGCATAACCAGGCCAATTTCCATTGCTTATCCTTAATGATCACAGCTGTAATTTGTATGCAAATTATCACTTAAATTGGTTTAGATCTGTAATGTTCAAACCATGATTCAGGAAACATTTAAGAGCTCTTCAGTAACAACCAATGCCCATGGTGAGGTCCTGGAGCTCCCCAGGCTCTGCTCACACCAGGCAGGAGGAAGCGGTGATGGGCACTGGGCTGCTATAAAGCACTGCGGCCACATGGCAGTCAAAGGTTAGACTTGGACTATTCTGAGAGTCACTTTGCAATCTGCATTGCAACACAGCTCCTCAAATTTGCTGCGATCTTCTGGGTGTCATATAAAAATCTAAGTGAAGGCTGCTGGGAAGGCCTGGAAGATCCCAGAGCACGCAAGCTCCAGCGCTTTGCAAGAGSAGCAGTCCCACCCTTAGCTTTTATACAGCTCCGAAGTTGGCAAATCACAACCATCTCTCAGCAAAGTGGTATTAATCCAGATGAGTTAGTCACTCTGATGCAACTTTTCATTGAAAACAGACCACATACAGGGATGTCGTGCCACATTTCTCCAGTTCTAGCTCCTCCAGTTGAGCGCTCAGACACCAGAAGGAGCCAGCACAGACACTGCTCCCTGAACCCATCTGCAGTCCCCAGGGAGCCCTCGCACTCCATGGAGACCCTAAAAATGGGCACACTCATGTCTGCAAAATGCTGCACCCAGGAGCAATCTGTCCTGTTCCACTTTCCTCATTTTCCGCATTCTGGAAGTAGAAACTGGAAGTTTCTTCTACTCCCACTTCAGATGTTTTAACGTGCCCAGTTTAGAGGCAGCTTTCATCTTTTCCAGGGAAAGTGTGACTGCCCCTTGATGAAGTTCGCTCTCCAGCCCAGCCGACAGGAATTGCTGATAGCCTTTCACCATCTCCCAACCAAAGACGGATGGACACAAGCTTGAAATGGAAGCTTGTATTACAAGAGCATCCCTAGCATGACAGGAGATACCACAGGGGACTTCTCCCTGCTCCACAATAGGGAAGTGAAGTAACATGGATGTTACAGACCAAACTTTGTTGTCTTGAAATAAAGTCTTTTTCTCTTTTTTTTTTTCCCCTCACTTTTTTCGCACTTCCATAATGCATTTATTCATAGTGAATCTCTAGAGCTATCAGTGTGGACTAGAAGCACAGCTGTCTTCATGAACACACTGAAAATATCACAAGCCCTCTCCTATCAAACAGCAATAAAACTAAGATGATAGCAGATACAAGTTTCCTTAAAAGCAGGAGAAGGAAGAACTTTTCACTCACAAAGATCACACAGAATGGTTGAGGTTGGAAGGGACCTCTGGAGATCAAGCATGGTCACCTAGAGCACATGGCACAGGATCACATCCAAAACATCCCCAAGAAGGGAGGCTCCACAACCACAGATGAGAGGCCCTTATCCCTTAGCCTATCATCTCAGCAGCCCTTTGGATGGGTASAGGCTACAGCTGCTTCCTCTCAGCCACTTCAAAATGCACCTGTGAATCACAGCAGGCTCATTGCAGAAGCCAAGTAGGCACCTAAGAACTTAAATAATTTTCAATAGCATCTAATGKTTCACAGTTTCAGGCCACAGGCAGGCGTATGCAACAGTAACTATCTCCAGTAGTTGAAATAAGCCTAGGACTTGGTCATCTGATCAAGTGTTTCAGCTATATGATATACACACCACTTATGAATTACTCTGACAAATAAATATAGTCTGATTACTATGTTCATTAACTAGGTGACATCTCTAATGAAGGATCTTTGTGTTCTTCAGGTTATTGACCTCATGGATCAGGAGCAAGGGAGAACTACCAGTCATCCAAGGGGATTTTGCAATAGAGCACCAGGGCAAACAGAATAAATATTAATTCCACATTTCTTTCCTCTTACTGACCACTCTATCTGGAGCGATTAATAACCTTCCAAATTCCGGAAAGGGGCTGAACATTAACATGCAGATAAATTTAAGTCTGTTTTAGTCTATTTTTACCAGACACAAGTAACATGAAATATGCGGGTTTAGTGGTTGATTGCCCTCTTTGTGACAAACACTGAGATCCTTCATGAGCAAAAGCCGCTCATTCTTCCCAGCGGGATTTCCACCTAATTCAGGACTTCAGGATTTGCCCCACTGCAAGTCAATTTTATTTTTATAGTTTCCACCCTACCATGTAATAAAATGAGTTTGATCTTTGCTTCTTTTCAGATTTCAGCTCAGGTTCAGCAACAAGTTGAGTTAGCGCATGTGCACATGAGAGAGAGACTCGGACACAGAGAAAGGCTGAACTTCAGGAAGAAAGGAAACTGAAGAAAGGCAAGGAATAAGTGAGACAGAAAGAACAGACCAGTAAAATGTGTTTAGAAGAATATTAATTTATTTTTTTTCTCATTTCCAAATAATGAACTGTGCAAACAGAAAAAGGAAAAGGAGAAAGACACTTTGGTAACACATGCAGTTAACATCCAAGAAGCTATAAAGGCAAAAGTGCAAAACCGGACAGTATTTTCCAAGTGGATCCTGCTAGTCACCTCCGGCAGTTGGCTCTTACTTACTCATCTGGTTGTTGTCATTCACAAAGTCCTCAGAACCGTCATTGTCATCTTCATCATCCCCAGAGGAAAGAGCATCTGCACATCAAAAATAATCAAGATTTTAAATCGKCAAACTCTATGGGCAAATAAACCAACATGCTACATCTGAAGTTATCTACCAAGGAGAACAGATGTTATTTGAGTCGTGCAGAAGTTACAGAAACAGAAAACCCAGCCATAAAATGTGTTATTCTTACAACATTCTAATAAAACTAGCTAATAATCCTGAAACACTACAAAGTTTCCAAAGAGAGCTTGCTAACTCCAAAAATCTTTCTACTTGTAATTTTTCTTTTTCTTAAACACATTCAGTTGAACAGAACTAAGTGTTCCTGAATGATTGCTCTCTAAACTAAAAGCGGTGTAAGGGGATGTAGGACACCCCTTTCACTCTTCTGCTGTGTTAAAAAATCTTTTGTATCCATTTCACTGGCTTTATCATCATCACGGTGATTCTGTATAACTTAATCCTGTCAGAGAAGCATAAAACAGAAGGCTAAATCTCCAACAGCTATTAATCAGCATAGACCCCATAAAGTAAATGGAATATACACAAACTGGGTCTGTTTCAAAATCTGGACAAAGAGGAAAATATTTGAAACTCAGCTACAGAAAAAAATAATAAAAAAAAAAAAAAACACATTACTTCACACTCAACTGGACTGTTTCAGGTTATTTCATAACCTTATATCACATTGTACAGCTTCCGCATGCAAGACTCACTCACCTGTAATATTTACAATGAAGTACAGAGTGTCACTGTCTAGGGTCCTAACAGCAGTGCAAGCATAGAGGCCCGAATCTCTGGGTGCAGCGTCCTTAATCTGTAAGTATTCCCCAATAATCACTGTCCTATTGTCGGGCCCCAAAGGGGCCCCATCCTTAGTCCAACTGATCATGACGGCGTCTTTCAACTGACAGCGCAACTCAAGTGGTTCTCCTGGCAGGGCTGAGTATACATCGGGCTGGGAGATTTGGTATTTGGTTGGTGGCTCTGCAAAGATGGAATGAAGGAGGAAGAAAAAGGAGAAAGAAGAGGGAAAGGAGAGAATTTCCAACAACAGTCAGTGAGGGCCCTTTCGTAGCCGCAGAAATCAAGTTACGTTAAACAAAAAGTTTCATCCAGATTAGCCCAGCAACCTGTCTCATAAAACTGAATCACACGCAGATATGGGGTAGATTATATTTGCAGAAAGTTAACCACAAGGAGAGCTCCTTCCCCTTGGATTGATGTCCCGTTCTGTGCCTTCTCCAGAGTGCCATGCCAAGGCACAAGCATGAAGGAAGACTTCAACATCTATGTCTATAATTTAAATGAATGTTTATATTCCCCCATCTGGTTTTAAAAGTTTTTTAGAAGTGTGTTCTTTTTTTTTTTTTAACTTGCCAGATGCTGTTTAGGAACAAAAGGACAGTTAAGAAAAACCTCAGCAGCTAAACAAATGTGACTTCCTATACATAGCATATATGATGTCCTCTATTCTTCCCTCTACGCCTTTTCCAAAGTCTCCACGTTTGTCTTCTACCCCACCAACTGGAAGGCTCGGTAGTTTTTTCCACTCTTTTTTAAATTTGATTTCTTATTTCGCAACCTCTCCTAAGCACAACATCAGTAGAAAACTGGAAATGAAAGCACTGCTTTCAAGGGCACAGTGTTCACAGAAGTTCAAAAACGGGATGGCTTGTCCACCAGTTCAAAATGAATGTGAAAATACACCTTTTTCCAAGAAAAAGAAAAAAAAAAGAAAAAAAAAACCCAAAAATCTACATGTGTCTATGGTTACCCTGGCCTAAATCACCCTCTTCCAAGGCAGACTTACAGCGGGGAAAAGGAGTCACAGGTACAAGTAATCTCTGCACTTGCTCAAGGACATCTCCATGGGGGCAGCAGGGACCTCCCTACGCTGCATGTAAGGCCACACCAGGGCTTTGCCTTACGAGCAACCTGGCACTGGTAACTGAAAAGCCTAAAAAACAAATCGGAACGAACATGACCACGTTTTGTGTTTGCTCATGGTCACAACTCAACTGCTCCTCAGCTCTCAGCCCAGCACACATCCGTCCGTCCACATACAGACACCAACTGTGCCCCGCTGGGTGTTTATATATGTACCTACATATAAATAAAACACACGCCGATTGTTTTGAAGAGTCCGAGGGATTATTAAAATAGGTGGCTTCTCAGTGCCCACTCTTGCTTCTAAGAATATCGAAATTCCTAGTCCTTAGGGCACAATGTTCTCGCTTTTTACACCACACCTTCCCCAGAAGAGCCAAAAACATGGGTCAAGTCTGAGCTAGTCAACAGACATGGTTTTGGGAATGCATTTAAATATTGTACTATACCAGTACGCTTAAAAACACTGAGCCTATGTGTCATTTAGACATTCTGAAATATCCGTATACTTGAGTAAAACCCAAACAAGAACACTTACGGAAACAGTAAACAGGTCTCTACACCTTTTAGAGCACCAAAATACTTATCAAAGTCTACAAGAAGCTATACTACCTATAGCTTTATACATTTTATAAGCTAATTTAGGCTTGCTGAGTAAGGAATCCACAGATTCACAAGGCAGAGGCTTCTTCGAGTACCACACAGTGCTGCTGGAAGCCTATGGATCACAGCCTGTTCCTACACGTATTTCATATCCATAATGAGCATATATGAGAGTTTTTAATTGTATCCACTATAAAATAATTCATGAAAAAAATAAGTGGCTGACAGCAGCTTGCTAATTTACTTTGTAGTTTAGTAGGCTTCTCTGTAGGGCTCTTCCTGCAATGTAAATTCACTTTACAGAATCTGCAACCGCGCCAACCATTTACAGGAGTTTAGAAATTAAAATAATGATTATAAAGTCATTTAGAAATGACTTCTTAAAAGCCAGCATGGGTGAGGACAACTCAGCCCAACTGCGAGGGCCTTAGGGGCTTGAGCCCAACAGTCCTAGCAAAGAAGCAGCAGGTCCCAGGCAGGGTGCAGGGTCCTCACTGCAGGCTGCTTCTCTCTTGATTATGTGTGAAAAAACAGGAAAAACACCTCAAAACCTCGATGCCAYCTCTTTTTCATTACCATCATTTCATTATCTTCAAATTATATTAGAGTAATATTAGGCAATCATTCAACGCAAGCCAAAAGACAAACTCAAGTACCAATCTAAAAGGAAAATTACCAGTGAACTGAAAAAAAAATAAGCTTCACACAGATAASAGAGACTGGTAAACATTACTGTCCTCCACCTCCTTCTCTTTAGAGTATAGGGTATAGAGTATAGCACTAGGACTTGTCATGAAATGATGAAGTCATGCTTGGAAATAGTGAGTTATTTCAGGTAAGGCTTTGTGTTGCCAAACTCGAATGTAGCAGCACTTAAGACTGTCACTTTTTATAATGTTTGCCTATAAACTTTTCCAACGAGGGTTTGAATTGGTGCCCAAATGCAAACAGAGAACAGGTGGGATTCTGAAGCTTTGTTCTGTCCAACAGTTTCGCAGGGAAAAGCCATGACTTTAAACTGTTAAAAAATTCCCGGCAGCATGTAAACAACTGTCCTGCAAAGTTAACTATCTCTCCAGGACACTGCAGGCCATAGGAAACATTTTTACACTACTCTGAGATTTAGGGCCAAACTTTGAACCCACTTTCACACCATATTATTGCATCGGTGCTGCCCCCGAGGCTTACGTGAGGATTATTTCCCCACTTCCATGTCATTTGAGCGTAGCAAAATGAGGCTGTAAATCCACTCAGCCTTCCCTTGTACCCATCCTCTAGTGTTTTCACAGCAGCATCCTCTGGAATTTTCCCAGACGTGAGAATCCTAAGTCAAAATAACCAAAATACCATCTCAAAAGGGAGAAGATAGAGCCTGGGAAGCTGTGTCCATAACTGTATCCCGAGTCATCACTGCGAGACTGGCTATTTACTGGATGAGCTCTGCAGAGCAGAGGGAAGGCAGCAGCAGTTTCCTGTTCTAAGGTCTCCTGCAAATCCTATAATTGTGGCATTAGTTCCTACTGCAGAGGTGTATGAACTGATGTGAATAACATCTGTCCATCGGTCCTTTTTGAAAAAACAAACCAAACAGGCACAAAAAGGCCCACGCTGACTTCTGTTGACATTCTTAATCACCGGAGGACAAGGGAGCGAACTTTGCTTCTACATATTATCTGCCCTCAGCTACATCCTTATTTGTAATAGCGGCACATACAATGCAAGCGTATTTATACTGTGTAGGTGGAGCCTTTGAACAATATCCCCGCAGAAAACAATATTGCTCTTAAATAAACACACATAGGCTTTTTCTTTGCCTACTCATACAGCCTCTCAGCATGGTTTATGCCATCCAGCGATCAAACGGGTTGAATACTGTTTGCATAAAAGCCGAGGCCACAATAGAGGACTGGGGACACTCAGAAAGCTCTATTTCATACAACATACACGACATTATMTTCCCATCATTTTTCTATTCAAGAGCATTGGAACAAGAGATTTGCACTTCCTTAGGTTTTAAATTATTATTATTTGCCTCCATTTATTAAAAAGTTAACAAAGAGCTGCTTATCTTAAGGCTGAAGGCATTTAGTTACTTAGTTACAGAGCCAAATAATTAAACAAACAGCTAATAGCTAACCCCAGCAAAGATTCTCACACAGCGCTCCGTAACACAAAAGCCTCAGACCCCATCAAGCCACTTTCCCTTCAAGAGCCTTCAGTAAATGACTAAACGCTCACTGCAGCATGCCCAGAAGGGTCAACAGACCTGACCTGTCAAGAATCCAAGAGGTTCATTGCGAAACTCAATGTCCCCATGGGGATCGCCAGGCTGCCAACCATTCCTCCTCACACCACTGATCCGACCCTTCCTCCTACCCGGCTCCTTCTCCCTGTGTCTGCGGAGGATCCGTCCAGCCAGACCGTGCTGAACTATCAGCAAGGAACAAAGAGCATCACACTATGCCTCAAGCAGAATAGCCCCAGGCTCCGTAACTCAAATCAAATCCAAAACTTGACACTCTATCCAAAAGCCACAAGGGAGCCGGTGTAGGATCAGGAAACCCAGGTAGAAGGTTTGCAGCTTCCCTCCCACCTCTCTGGTACAAGCTGATGGTTGTCCACATCAGCCTTAGCCAGCAGATTTATCTTAGGATCAGTTCCCTGTCGTGTTCTGGCTGGATAAATGACACTAAACTAACTCAACCTACCAAAGAAATGGCCACCAGCTTAACCGTGAAGTAATTCCTGAGCACGGTGACTACCTACCCTTAACCGCCTGCAGATCTCAGTCACCAAAGCTAAGCACGTCTCCGTATTCAGCAGGGGACAAAGCAGGGTTTGCAGTTCCTCCATCTGTTTCTCCAAAGTTACAGGATTCCTGCTGTCTTATTTGTACTGCGCTTCCGTCAGCTGGCTGCCAGCTATGCCCGGCTAGGCCTTGGCCAGGCATAATCAGGAAGTCCCTGTGTTCTAAGAGAATACTTCTTTTTTTTTCCTTTCAAAATTACTGAAGTTCACACACAAAAAAAAAAAAAAAAAAAAAAAAAGAAAGAAAAGAACATTACTAAGAGCAGGAATCATCCCCTCCCCAACATCTAAAAACATTAGTTGTTCAAATTTGATGTAAAAGATCTAGGCCTGGTAGGAAAACTTCACCAAACGTGCAACGCCAAAGAGCAGGAGATGCATGGGACGGTTATGAAGGAAAAATGTGGCAGATTCTAATTTTTCATCTGTTTCCTTAAATAGGCTCCTAGGCTGCTCTACTTGAAAACACACGGACTTCTACAAAACACTAAGAAATGGGTTCTCCTAAATAAACTGAGGACTTTTCCCTGGCATCTTCTTTAGTCTTATTATCCTTACTCACTAAGGACCCTGTCATTTAATATAAAATAAAAAGGGGCCAAAATATCTGAATGAGAGGATTCCCTTTGACCCTGGAAGTGAAAAACTGCAAAGCAAGGTAAGTACTGCTGAATTTTACAGGCCTG